CGCTTGCGGGAGGGGGACCAAGATGTGCCCGAGGTACCAGGGAAGCGAGCCCCCGCCTCCTCCCAGGCCTGGGTTTCCTCCATCATCAGGAAGCGGCGAGTAGGACCCCCTTCTCCCCGCGCGGCCCCAGGTGGGGTCTCGGATCTCTCCAGGTGTGCCAGGTGCTACCTGGAAGGCATGGCGTTAAGTGATGGCAGCGGTACGCTTCCCGCGCCCGCTTTTATTTCCCCAAAGCCTTAGGATCCCAGGAGCGCGTTCATGGCTTACATTCAGAATTAGTAAATAGCAGTAGATACTGTTATCATCTTCGTGCCTGCCATCTATTTTGCTGTTGTGCTTTTGCTGCCCGACAAATTATTTGATAAAAGATAAAGAATGGCACAGTTGTTCACTTGGATGCAAAAATCTAAATTTAGAATCAAGTAACACGCGCTTTGTGGTTCAGGCTCCTTTCTCTTCCGAATGCTTAAAGAATAGTTTTACTAACAGGTTATGGTGACATAGGTTCCTTTAATCCCTCAGTGTAAATTCTAAGATATGCTAGATGATGGGATTATGTAAGCTGTAGAAAAGAAATCTTTATGCTCTGTAAGTGGAAAAGGCATGAGTTTTTCATAATTGTGGGTTATAAAGTTGTGCAGGCTTACGTCATAGTGTTCATTGATCCGGGGTGTCATGAATCGTGCCTTTTATTCTTTCAGGCACCTCTGTTTTGTCTGTGGGATGCTGATTAAGGAATATGCCAAATGTTAAGCAAAGTGTTCCCAGCCACGGAACATATGGGATACTTCAAAGAACACTTTAAAAACTTAATTCTTGTATTGCTGGGTTTTTTTTTTTTCTTAAGATGCAAGATTGTTAAATCTGTTAACAAAACAGATTTTTTATTCTGAGGTCTGGAGTTGAAGGTTCCTTCACCTTTGGAGCATGAAGGAATGGCGAGTGGTAACGGTAGACATTGCCTTTTTGTTTAAAGATTGGGCTGTGTTAAGTTATCAATAGCCTGGGACAGTCTTAAGGTAAGGTCGATATTAAGTGTTAACAAATGTGGCTGCAGATAAAAATGTAGGTCACCTGTGTCTAATGAGCCAGCCCCGCAGCTGCCTGGGGTGTTTTAAGGGCACGTGGTTTGTTCTGTTTGCGCCCCTCTGGAGATTTCATTCACTTGTGCGTCATGGTGAAGCTTAGTTAGTTTGGAAACCCTGATTTTAAATGTATAGCTGCATTCCTGCGGAGTAGAACACTTTTTTTTTTTTTCTTGTGAGATGTCAGAACGTATTAGTAGGATTCACTCTAAGTATCTTTTCTCAACAAGACTTTACTAACTTCTTAGGTCCGGTATCTAATACTCCATGTGCTTTTTTTTTTTTTTTCTGGCCTCCATTTAATTTTTAATTTTTTAAAAATTCTTTACTACTCATATTTACATATCCATTCTGCCCATTCCCTTGCCCTCCCATCCTCCCATGATCCCCACCAACCCCCCCATAACCCACCCCCCCCAACTCCTCCCTTCCATGTGCTTTTTATGTGTTATGGGTATAGTATACTTTGGTGTTAGAATTCGTTTTGACTCCATGCATTTATATATTTATATAGGCTTCTTTAGTGTTTAATAAAAACTTTTTTTTTTTAAGTGGGGAGTGTTTTAAGACAGGTTTCCCTGTGTATCCTTGGCTGTCTTGGAACTCACTCTGTAGACCAGGCTAGCCTTGAACTCAGAGAGCAGCTTGCCTCTGCCTCCTGAGTGCTGGGATTAAAGGTGTGTGCCACCACCACCTGACTCAATAAAAACTTTTAAACTGGTGATAGTTTAGACTTGATTTTGCGTGTCTCTGCGTCCTGATTTATGTCAACTGGATATTTATTCTAATTATGAGCTTTTCCCCCTCTAGAACAAAATCCTTTCTGAGGCAAAATATAAACAGAAAGTGAAGTGTTTCTATAATGTCATACCAGGCTTCAAATTCTAAGTTACACAGTTTGCTGAGATACTGGCCCAGTTTTTAAAAGAAAAAGTCATTCATTATTGACTGTTTTATTGAATTACTAGATTAGGGACTTTGTGCAATTTAAAATTATTGGATTTTTTTCCCCTCATGAGGATTTTGATTGTAAGCAGTCAACACGGGTATGGTTGTGATAAAGTTAGGGTAACCATGGGAAATGAGTAAGTTTGGCCTTAGCAAGGGTAACTTGGAGAACTTCTTTGGAACACTCCAGCTCAGGTAATAACAAGAAGCATTGCAATGGAATGCTGTACTTCTAGAATGTTACATGGAAATTGGAGCTACTGGCCAGAGAGACTAACAGGCATTCTTTGTTGGGGACTCAGAGTCAGGGATTAGCCAAAGGCTACAGGAAGGGGGAAATTTGTTTACAGTTGTGTTTTTGGACTGTGAAATTTTCTGTGCGTTTTGCGATTTATACCATAATAGACTTGTGCTCCCTATAGAATAGAAAACATTTAATCTGCATTTTTCTGTTGAGCTAAGTTAACGTTCTGAAAAAGCTCTTCAGTTTCATTTGTATAGCATCCTGTAGCCTATCTACCCTGCTGTGGTGTAAACAGTCAACCTGTAGATACATGACTTTAATCCCAGCACTCGGGAGGCAGAGGCAGGCAGATCTCTGTGAGTTCGAGGCCAGGTTGGTCTACAGAGTGAGTTCCAGGGCAGCCAGAGAAACCCTGTCTCAAACAACAACAACATAAAAAGAACCTGAACTTAGAAGTTGGTTTCTCATCTGGTTTACTTCCCTGTGTGTAAAATAGGGTTTGTATTGCTGGCCCTGTAAGGAGTTAGTGGAGGTTTAAGTCGTGTGATGGGCCCAGAAAGAAGGGAGAAGCCAGTTAATCACAGCGGCTATCATCACCATCATTCTTTGTCGTTTATCCCTGTAGTCTTTCTTGGCTAGTAGAGATTTCCAGTGATTCGCTGTGCTGAAAAATAGCTGAGGTGGTAGTTTGTGAATTGCCTGCAAACCGGCTGCTTTAATCAGGCATGCCCTTCTACTGAGAGATTTGTCTCTTGGGTTCCTTAGTTGTTGTTGGAGGTGCATTAACTCACCCCACTAGAGGGTCATTAGTGTATCACCAAGAACATCTTGTGGTACTACTCCGTTGACGACACTAGAAATCAATGCACACCTCAGATGGCCTGACATGCCCCTAGGGGATGAGGCCAGTTATGCACAGAGTGGACAGCACAGACAGTGGCTGGCTGCATTTGTTGGCCTGTTTCTCTTTTTGATACAGTTGATATTTATTGAAAACCTATCATGTGCCGGGCATTATACTTAAGAATGTTTAACAACATCATTTCTTTTTCAGTTCTTCAGAAATTTAGTTAGATAAGTAATGATCTTCCCAATTTCTGAGTGAAAGCAATGTGATGGGATCGGCTGTTGCTGAGAGTGTGGGTGGGCTGGATGGCTACCTCTTCTGAATGCATAAATAGTTGCAGCTTTCTGTGTAAAACTTAAGATGAGGATATGTACTCTGGGGAGGCAGAGACAGGGGAATCTGAGTTCGAGGCCAGCTGGTCTGCACAGTGAGTTCCAGGACAGCCAGAACTGTTACACAGAGAAACTGTCTCTGTGGGACCCCCTCCTCCCCGAAAAAAAAAAAAAAGATGAGGATAAATAGCATTGATACCTATAAACGTTTTGTGATTTATGATATTATGGGGGAGTCAGTACCGGTTGCTTTATTGCATGGACGGAACTTGGAGGTATGGATAAAAAGAGTCACACTACATGCATGGGAGTGGGGGACTGGTGGGGGGGTGGG